CCCATTTGAGGCCAAGCACAGAAATTGTATAAAATGTGGTATTGTTTTCATTGAAATATGCTAACATTACATTCATTAAGACGCACACAAAAATTATATTTGATATAAGAAATAAAATGCTACACATAAGCACCATTCACCAAATCAATAAACAATCCATTTAGTCGTACGCTTGTTTTTTTATTATTTTTTTTATGAAATTTGGTTTGTTATTTTTTTATTAACTGACTTACATCTTTAATCCATCCTAAAAACATATGATAAATCTCTAAAGGAAAAATTATACATTTTCAAAAAATTTCATTTGTCAATAATCGTTACAAAAATTTGAATAGTTTAATAATGTCTTAGCAGAAAGTGCTTTTTCTAATTGAATTACTAATAATTTATGGGGGTCTTCAGAACCTTTAACACCAGCGAAAAAATTGAATGAGTGAAATACGTCACAGTGTTCATAAAAAAATATTAATTGAAATGGTGTGCAGCATTGGTCAAAAATGGGCAAATGGGAGCGGCCAATCATACAACCAGTGAAGGGGATAACTCACAGTCCCATAAAACATTTCTTGCTACTCTCTCATTCAACAACATCCTGATACCTGATTTGAGAGCTTAACTATTACACACATTGCTAAAACCTTTAACATATCTATTTCACAAGTAAATTTAAATCAAGTCACCTTCAAAGGTGATCTGAGGCAAAGAAAAACTACTATCAAAGCCCGCTATAGTGAACTTCCGGATACAGTGAATGAAATGTTCGTTCCTTACTACACACGAACAATGTTAATTTTTGTGGATACAGCGAACCAACAAAAGAGAGGAAGTTGGATACATGAACTTTTTCAGTCTTCGACTGATTTATTTTCTTTTTTTTGCAATAATTTTGAAACTTCTACTTCAAAATAAATATACATATGATTTTTAAAACCATCCATAACATGGAATGTAGCAATGAGCATTTTTTCATTTTTTAGATACTTCATCATAAAATTTAAAGCATTAGATACTTAAAAGAGCTAACACAAAAGTAAAAAAAATATCCCAATAAGTACGGTGCGCAGAGGGGGAAAAAAAGGACTACTCTGTATAATTTTTGATCTTATGATCCAATCTTCACATTTCAGGACTCATTCTTAATGATTCGAGGGGGTGACCTCAAATATGCTAAAAGATAAGTGCAGACGAAATTTTAAGTTACGAAGTCAGACACAAAAACATACTTTCTCTTAATAACCGTACCTTTTTTTCGACAGATTCGGATTTCTGACTCCCAAAATATAGGGGTTGGCCATAATCTGGGATAAATCATTCCAATAGTTTGGTCAGGAGAGTGCTCCAAAGTCCCTTAATGTTAATTTTACTTTTTGCGTATTTCGCTATATCTCTAGAAGATTTTAATTGAGCTGAAAAAGTTTTGTTCACAGTTATAAAATTGGTTTATCCAAAATTATTTCCAAATAAAAAATAACTTTTAGAAAGTATTTATTATTATTTAATTTAAAAATGGTCGAAAATTTTTTTAAATTGTAAGGTACATTCTTTGTATCATTTTAAAGAATGTAATTTAATATAGCAAAACACAAAATGGAAAGAAATCGTATTTTAAGTATATGTCTTTTTTGGACCCATTGCTGTTTCTCATGCCCAGAAACGCTGAAGCACAAAAAAAAGAATCTAGATAATCTACCAACTGTTCTTATTTATTTAGCCATCAGGGCCATCTTAATAGAAAGCAGGGTACAGAAATGTTTTGGGCCCCTGTTCATACTGTTTAAAATCAAATTTAAAAAAACTTTACATACATAAAATAAAGCATTTTTAAGATATGTTACAAATTTTAACAAACTTAATCACATTTTTATCACCCTAAAAACTCAATGCCCATAAAATAAAACATTTTCAAAAGGTGCATAATCGAAAAAAAAAAAAATTAGATGCTAACCCATTGCCATCCTCAAATAATAAAATAATTTTCAGCTAATTAAAATAATAAAATTAAAAAAACATAAAGGCATGACAAATAAAAAAATTCAGAAGGTATGAAGAATGCGATACACTATTAAAACATCTTTCAATGCACAACTTACATAACCCGTACAACAGTGCTCTGTCATTCCAAACTCTTTCATTTCATTTAACTAATACTAAACAGAGTGGGGTGGTGATCAAGCATATCTACAGGATGGCTACGAAACAGGGTTCGTGATTTTTTTAAAAAAAATCAAAAGAATCAGATTTTTTTGATTTAAATCAAACTTTTTTGATTTAAATCAGATTTTTTGATTTTTATTCAAATACACTGTAAGAACTTTAATTTATGATTTAAAAAAAATTATAAATGTTTAATCAAATTAACTTAATATTAAAACTATACTGTAACAATATTTTAGAAGCTCTTAACTAAAATAATTTTTCATTATAATACAGGGCTTCATTATAATAATTATGCATCGCAAAAATTTTGAAACAAATGCATGATTAAAATTTAAAGACTAGATGAAATAGAGAATTTAAAGAATACTTCAGGAGTCTGCCTGGGTTTTTCTGAGAGGTACCTATTTTGTGAAAATTAAAAATTATATAAATAAATCAACATAAATATAGTAAAAATATGGATTTATCGTTTTTTACGAGATACAAAAATAAAATTTTAAGAAAAAGTATTCTGTGTGATTATTCTATCATTTTTCCTAAAGTTGAATTTGTAAAGGTACCATTAAATGGTAGTAAATATAATAAACTTGGTAAAACTTGGTAGTAAATTTGGAAAAAATTTAACTATTAAAACAAAGTTTCAGTTAGCAAACCATAACTTTAATTTAAAACTGTGATTTCTTTTTTTTTCTCTTGATTTTNAACTGAATGAAATTCAGATTCCTTTCCCACCTTAGCATTAAGATCTCCGATAATTAGTTTTCTATCATGCCGTGGACAGTCATTAAAAATTTTATCTAGTTCTTCATAAAAGGTTTCTTTTTCATCATCTGACTTGTCTTCAGTGGGTGCATGAGCACAAATTATACTATAGTGGAAAAACTGTCCTCTTATCCTAATCACACAGAGTCTAGGAGAAACAGCAATGAAGTTCATAACCAGATTCTTAATACGTTTACTAACAATGAACCCTGTTCCTTCCTTGTGATGATCAGGGTGACAGCTAAAAAAGACCATGTGGTTTCTCTTATTAATCACTCCATTTCCAGTCCATCTAATCTCTTGAATTGCAGTTAGATCAATCTTGTATTCATCCAATTGTTGCAAAAGCATTTGTAATGCTTTAGTTCGATATAAAGATAAAACGTTCCATGTCCCAAATTTCATTTCCAAAAGGCGTTTTCCAAGTTGCCTCCGTAAGATCAGCAGTGGATTCTCTTCTTTAGACTTCGTAACAATTTGTTTTTTATAGGAAATCATTTGCTTTAAATTGTGATTTAAATCAAGCTGATTTAAATCAACGAACCCTGCTACAAAATACTGATACAAATATTGAATCATTTTACTGTACAGATGTTAAATAGAAGACGCTAAACACACAAATTACAAATTGAAGTTTACTTAAAAAACTTTTTATTCGAATCGACCACCGTCTTTATCAATTACTGAAGATAATCTCTTATGTCATTGTTGGATGGCGGCACAAATCATTTCAAGAGGGTCACTCCATAAAGAAGCTCTCAGAAAGTCCAAACTTCTGTACTGATTAGCAATACATTTAGAATTCTCCAAACAAAATATAGTTCAAAGGACCGGGTAAAGAAGGGGGCCAATCTTCTCGATCCGGCAATAGACACAGAGTCAAATCTGAGTTGTTTCGGCTCGGTGCAGAATCTTGCTGAAATATTCAAACATTTTTGGAACACACTCTGTCAGTATGTGGCAAAAAATACTTCCTTTTTGCAATATGCAGAATTGAGTTTTTCCCCCTTTTATCGATGAATTTCTGAAGAAATTTTCCGTTATTTGACACTGCCGCTCGAACCATACAGAATTCTTGTTCCGAAAGCGTTGTACAGTTCGAACACTTTCAGTTATATCATCGAAGGTTGCTGAAGGGTCGTTTTTAACATTAAAACTAATTTTCTCATTAGAAAAGATTATTTTGTCAACACTTTTGATACTGTGTCAGTTCAGCAATTTCTTTCTTTTTAATTTTAATGCAGTTGTCAAACTTTTCTTTTGCAATAAGGGTGAAAACCCAAGTCTTCGACCCACGCTCTCTTCTGCAGCCATTTTATTAGCAGTGAGTCATCTTTTCACGTATTCTTTTAATGCGCCCTTTAGTATGAACTGAGAGTGAACAACCAGTCCTAAGTTGATCTTTACAGCTATTAGTATCCAATAATCGTTTTATAGTTCGATGTATAAGTGTTCGATTAAATGCAAGAGATTTTAATTGCTACCTCCTGAAAACAAGCGATCGAAAAGCATCAACCTTTCCATACTTAAACTGATTCTAAATATATTGATTTAAAACAAAAATCCTCTGCACATATGGAAAGTTTCACTCACAGGAATACTGAGAGAACGGATGAACGATGAATTTTTTTGGAGTGTTACAGTATTTAGTAGCCACCTTGTAGAGTGCCTAAAAACTACATTTTAATGTAGATTGCATTTTTAAGTTTTCCTGATGATCAACAACTATTAAAATGATGGGTGTTTGCATGATAATCAATCACTATTTGTAGAGGAAAAAATTTATACAATACAATATATTTATTTTAAAAAATATATAGTAATGCCATGTTTTTGCTCTTAATTTTTTTAAAAATATTCCAGGTTTCGGGATAAATGATTTTTTTCGTCCGATACTGAAGTCCCTGATTTTTTTGGTATTCCTGATATACCCCGAGCGCACACACCCTGGTTTGTTGTATGATTTTATGAGGATTGATGCCATTATGCTTGTTACATACCTTTATATGGCTTAATGACATATGTATATAGATTATTTTTTCCTTTTCGGTTACCGTTCATAAAGGCTAAAAAACACTCACTCTGCTATCATACTCCTTGACATCCAGAATAATTTTTAAATCTAATTTCAAGCACTCTTCAATTCCTTCTTCTAGTGTGGCTACTTTTTCTCCCTTGTAGCGAGTCCTAAAAGAAACACATTTTTACTAAAACAGGCTGAGAAGTTTTAAGCCTACACAGATACTTTTTAAGTCAGAAAGACACAAATATGGAGGGATGAGCCACGGTGGCTCAGGGTATAGTGTGCTTGCCTCCCAATAAGGTGAACCGGGCTCAAATCCCAGCGACGACGGGGGTCGATTCCGCACCCGGCCTACACCGACCACACTGCTCACGTAAAATATCCTCGGTGGTAGATGGATCGTGGGCTAGAGTCCCCTTGCCGTGAGGCCAACCGTGGAAGGTTTCAGTGTTTTTCCTCTCCATGTAGCGCAAGTGCAGGTTAGTTCCCTCAAAAAAGTCCTACACGAAGGCAAATTTCCCCAATAATTGATCCAGGAGTCCCCTTTCTTCTGGATTAGATTCAAAATTACGAAGCTACGGAGTTGAACATTAGTAGTTGCAAACCCAAAATGAGGTGGGCTATTCAATGACGGTTATAGCAAAATAACAAAGAGAGAATAAAGTTGTATTTATGAATATATATATATGGAAAAAAATGCGGAGTCTTGAGGTCTATAAGTGAGGGGGAAAAAAGTGGTTTCCCTAAGCTCACTCAATCCGCTAATTTGATTTAACTACTTTAGATAAATATATATTTGAAACATAACAAAATTAATATATATGCCTCATAAATTTTTTTTCAACTTAAAATTTATTTCTTATTGTTTAAATGTTTTTGTTCCTGCAAAAATATTTATATAAAATAAATAAAAAAAAGAGTTAAATTTGAGCTTATGATTTTGTGTATCTAAAAATGCTTAAAATAAAACAGACCATCAAAAACATAGATTTGTGATAGTTTTTAAAATTTAAAGGTGATGTTCTGAGTTATATATTTTATTTATCAATTTATTTTTCTCCTGTTACCAGTGTAAACAAATTGAATATGAATAATATGCTGTAATTAATTATTGTAATAACTTCAAAATGTTATCTACATAAAAATATTTTAACACAAAATAATACAACTCCATCCAAGATATTTATATTATATAGTATTTTATTTAATGCTATTTAGACATTATGTTATAATAATATTGATATACTCCTTTTTGTAAGCAAAAAAGCATTTTGATGCTTGTTTTATTCTTTATTTATCATTTAATCAATAATACTGAAATATACTTATTTTATATGAATGTATTGACATTAATTTAATTATTTTTCATCATTCTATTCCTTTCAAATATTTTTTTTAATGCTTTATTACCTTAAATATTTTCAAACTACTCTTTTATATTACATTAAAACTTGTAATAATTAATTTAGTAATAAAAAACAAGATAAAAATAATTGATACTAATGTAATCATACATATATTATTAATCGTACATTAATTATTAATAATATACATATAATTACAATACTATAAATAATGCAAAAGTATGAATTTTTTTGTTTTTTTCTGAAATACTTTTTCTTGTTCAGTTATTTTGAATTTGGGACTTTACTAAGTTCAAATTTCTTTCTGTAAAAAAAATAGTTTCTTTGATCTTTTCTATATTTTTAAATAAAATGTTTCCTTTTTAGGCAAAAAATAAAATATAGGCCAGAGGAAGTCCAACAATGTCCATGCCATGCACATTGTTGGACTTCCTCTGGTGGTTTCAATGATCTCTTAACCATGATTGATTGCTTTACCAGATATCCAGAGGCCATACCAACTCCTGATCATTATTTAACATTAAGATAAATAGATTAGGTTCTGACAATTGATTGAATTGGATATGTTCTGAAAACATCGGATTTCAAATGTCTTTTTAGACAATTCCTGTAGTCCTATTGGGAATAAGAACTTTAAATTCTTTTTCAGCTAAACTCCTATAGGGTCTTCCTGCCATGTGACATGCTTGAAAACTACATCCAATAATGAATATATTTCGCAATTACAATTCTATGTTATTTTATAGCCATCTTTGAACAGCCTACCCAATTTTGAATTTATGATTTGGGAAAAATTTCTTTTTGATGGAATTAACCACAAAAACCCTTACAGCGTGGGAACTCCTGATCCATCTACGACAAAGGATATTTTATGCCAGCACTGTGTCCGTGTAAGCCGGGTGTGGAATTCATATTGGCCAGCCACCCCTGGGATTCGAACACAAATCACCTGATTGGCAGGCGAGCACACGTTCATTCAGAGAAAGTACGTTTTGGGGTCTGATTTCGTAATTTGAAATATCATCTGCACTTATTAATTAGCATATTTGTTGTCACCCCTCAAACAATTAAGATTGAGTACCAGAATGTGAAAACTCAATCATTATATCAAAAGTTATTCAGGGTGGTCTGCTAGTATTATTTATTTCTTTAGTTAGTAATTTTTTTTTCTTTTGCGAATTCTATAATTTTATCTCCAGGAGAGATAATATAAAAATTCAATTTTCTAAGCTTTTAAGTGCATTTTTGAACAATCAATTAAAATTTTTTTTGTTGTATTGATCTTTTAAACTTTTCATTCCTATTTTTTTCTAATATCTATTAACATTTACTTCTTTTTAAGCAAATGTTCGAAAATAGTTTATATGGGAATTATATGTAATTTTTATTTTTGAACATAAAGCTGCGATTCAAAAATAATTAAAAAACTTATGCAATTCTAACTGCCACAAGAGATATTTTTAACATAAAAACGGCATGAATAAAATTGTAATTAATTGCATTATTGCTTTACCCACAGTGTCTAGAACACAAACAAGTTTTTACAGATTTAATTCGTCTTTAACTATTACTTGGAAGAATATGAGAAAATCAGATCTATTATAATGGACTTATTTATTATAATGTGTGATTCCTTGATGTGAACTTCTCTTAAAATTTAAAAGAATAACTCTTTATATATGTGCAATAATGCAACTTTTTAAAATACTTTTATGCATTTAATAATATCTGGTATTTCAAGTCCAGTGGTAAGTTTTTAAAAGTTATGTGGAAATCAAATAAAATAGGTAATTTGGAACATATTCTATGGAAACATGCTGAAAGTTTGAACGTTACATTTAAAGTTTCTCAGTACTGTAAAAATGTTTTGTATGAAATGGAGCCTGTTGGCAAAAAATTATAAGAAAAATAAACATAAAAGTTTTATCACGTTTTACTTGAAAAGTTTTACTTAAAACAAATCCTTATAAAAATTTAAAGGCCCAAACAAGCTGAAAGTTATTTTATGCTATAAAACAAAACAACTTAAAACGATAATAAAATATTTCAACAGTTACAAAAAATAAACAGCGTCTTTTACAATTATTACACAACGTTAACAGAAAATAATTGTAATATAAATTATGTTAATACTTATCAATTTCAACATAAAAATCCTAAAATAAATAATTTTAAGAAGTTCATTAAATGGTTTTTAAGAATCTTTTTGAATTGTTAACTTGCGCTGAAAGTGATATATATATATATAATTATTTCGCTAAACTATTAATAAACTATCTAAAGTCATTCATTTTTTTTGTAATTTAAAATATTTTTTGATGTTTTTTAAAGTAATAACTGTAAAAGAATCCTGATGTTTTGAAAAATTATTAAAGGGGGCACGTACTTCTCTGGGCCCCCAGTGTCTCCAACTACCATTCCACATTCAAAATCTCATCTTGGGGACATAAACAATATAAGATGAATAACTTAAACACAAATAAAATTCCTGGAAATGCACTGCCAACATATATATTTTGTGGCCAATATTACTGCTATATGTAGATTCCTATCCCAAAACTCTTGTCACCTCAGTGTAAATTAATTCTCATAAAAATAACTTAATAAGTAATTCATTTGCTTTTGTCATAGGCCATTAAGGCAAAAACTGTGATTGCTCTTGTTTTCCAGTGGCGCCATCTATGGCCAAGAATTTGATTTCTGTTACATTCATACGTCACACGCCTTTATAGGGCAGACCCATTTATATATCCAGTCAACTACAGATCGTAATTTTTGACTTGAACTAGAGAGCCCAATTCAGTACCCACAGAGGTATAATTTATTATAGGAACATGGAGGATTTCGTGATCCAACTAATTTAACGTGCACCAGTCACCATTAACTACACAGGGCATCTTCAACCAGCTGGATTCGTACACACGTTCTCACGAACGAGATACTAACACCTTGCCAATCTGGCTATTTCAGCTCTAAATAATACAGTACTATCAGCCCTTTGACACAAAAAGACATCTGGGAGACGTCATTTGTTTCTTATGTCAAAACAATAATTGACGTGTCTCAGACGTCTTCAACACAGAGATGCCAACCTTCTCCGGACAGCAAATTAATATTTTAAAGTGGTAGTTTATCAATTGTGATTCTTGATTTAACACATTCAATTTAGTAGATTTTTATCCACCACTATTTCTAAAAAATTCATAGGCTTATATAATTCACCATTTTACAGTACTTATGTCATGCTATACATTTTAAAAAGCAAGCAAAAATAGTAAAATACTCGCAAAATTTAGTTTGTAGTTATTTGCCCTGTCTGGAGCTGTTGGCATCTCTGTCAACATTCCGTTGAGAGTTGTTGTTGACAGTGCAATGAAAAATAATTTCTATATCAACAAATGATATGTCAAGGGGTTAATAAATAGTGCAAAAATCCAACCGAAAAAGAAACAAAAACATTCCTAACCCCAGTAGTGATTGGGGAAGTGGTGGGTGCTAACCCATTTCAAGAAAATCCACAGCTGCCGTACCCATAAATGCTTTCCTTCCTTTAAACACAGAGCCTGTACAAACTTTTTGGGGGACTGGTTTACATCTTACCTATGACAGCTAGCCTTCTTCCCGTATGTATATTCTTTGACAGGATCACTTTGACTTAAACTAATGAATGTTAACAGAAATCTTAATTTTCTTCTTTTGACTGATTTACTCAAATAAAATATTCTTAACTTATTTATCACTTTGTGTAAAAACAATGCCTTTCTAGGTTTTTTTTTCAGAGGTAACTATTTTGCGAAAATTTAGACAAAATTTGTGAAAATTAAAAATTATATTAGAAAATAAACACAAAAATATGGTAAGTTAGAAGATATATTCAAAAATTGTGACTGCATATAAAAATCATTTTTGACTGGTAAATTTCTATATATTTTTTCCTCATATATTCAAAAATAATATTGCTATTGTAAAATTTTAAATCCAAATTTAAAAATTCATAAAAGTCCTTGTCCATAGTTAAATTTCACCTTGAATTTAATAAAAACATGCATTTAACATTACTAGCACTAAAAGTTATTATGAGAACATTTTCAACTAGGTTGAACAGAAAAAAGTTTCACAGAGAAAAAAACTGCTTCATAAAAAATAAAGGTCTGTTAGAATGAATTTACAATAGTGTTTAAGATAATGTTCGAATTTAGACTTCCTGTACAGTTTATGAAGGGAGAGCCTCATTTAAAAAAAAACTCAGCGACCACATTGCACTATCTGACCAAACACGTGCTACCTTTTCATAAAAAACAGCTGGCAGTAAAGCTCCTCATTTCCATAGATTGCAATGAGAACTTGCTTTTTTTAAAGTATTTTGTGAAACTACCGTTCTTTCTAAAGTTGAATATGTGAAGGTACCGCTAAACAGTAGTAAATTTACCCTGGACAGACCCCTGCAATGCAACCATTAACCCAAAATATAACAGAAATCAATTCTTCTAATGGTTTGAGTAATAACCTGTAGATATGGTTGGAAGCAGCATCAAGCTCTCGCACTTCAGTGAACGTCTTAGAAGATAACGTGCCAAATCCATTCGTTGTTCTCTCCATTGTATCGTCATGAAAAAGCACAGCAATGTTATCTTTAGTGAAGGATAAGTCCACTTCAATACCATCTGCTCCATTCTTTTTGGCCTAGAAAATAAAAACCATAATTATTAGACTCAAAAACTTTGTGATAGTAAAACCTTTTTAATTCTAATAATCAAGGACATCAGAATGCGTAACCTAATCCTTCAAAAGAAAAATAAGCACCTTTTAAGAACTATTTAAGCACTAAAGAAATATTTTTAAGCACTATATACATTAACAAAATGCAAAATAATTTTCAAAGACCTTACGCAATCGAACTATTTTTCTTGATTATATTAGCCACCATAAAAAGATCCGAGAGATTTTTCTGATGGAAAATAAAGCCTGAAATTAGCAAAATGCAGCAGAGTTACACATTAAAGTGCTAAAATCTCGTCGAACTCAGCTCAGTAGACGCACATGTGGAATTATTGTAAAATTATGTAAAATTATTGCCACTTTCATACGCTACGGATCGACAATAGGGTGAAATGGATTGTGGTTGAATCAATTGTGAAAACGTTGAATAGAACAAGGTGAAAAGCTCGCTTTTGCATAATACGTGCTGAAAATCGCCATGGTAAAGAAAAAAAGTTGCATTTTCAAAAAGGAAAAATCAAGCACTTTTTTAAAAACACCCAATGAAAAAAGCCCCTCTAAGTGCTTTTAAAAAACAAAAATTGAAAATAAGCACCTTTAAGCAATTTTTAAAAAGGCTACACACTATGGATATGAAGTCAATGAACTAAGAAATCTTTAAAAATGACAAACAAAAAAAAAGCCATAAAAATGATATTATGAGGAAAAATAATGCCAATAAAAATTTTTGGAAACATGTTTGAAATTAACTTCTTTTCATAAAAATTGTAAATTGTAGTTTGTATTATATATTTAATAAAAAGTACAATAATTAAAATAATATGTAATTTATAAATAAAATAAAACCTCAATGATTGATAAAGGTAAATAAGAATTTATTAAATTCCAGTTAGAATCTTCAAGAACATCAGATTTACATTGTATTATCAAATGTCCTTACAATTGAAAGATTGTTCAAAAGCAAATTCTTTTATCTTGAAAAACCCTGTTCGACATCAACACTTGTTTTTGAAGGAATAACAAGATTCAATGCAAAAACTCATGCAATTCCGGAAAATTAGTACTTGTTCACTATAAATATTTTATAATTAATCTTTAGTAAATAAAGAGATACAGTACTACCAATATATATTTCTTACAGAGCTCATTCTAGGCAGGGTAAACAGGGCGAAGCACCCTGCTGCCCTTTTAGTCAAAAGAATCCACCCTGTTGCCCCTAAAGTAAATATGTGCTCCGATGTAATAGACTCCATACCCTTTTTGCCCTTTCTTTCCTCAACCCTTCTTTATTTCTACCTAAACTCTACAATGGATTTATAAAACTTTTGTTATTTTCAACTTGTTTTATTTAGTTTGTCATTGCTGTCAATGCATAGATTTATAACGGAAAGGAAAAATAGCCATCACACCCCCTTGTTGCACTTGTCTTTGAAAGTTTGCAGTTACTTCCACTATCATTAAATCATAATTATTATTAATCATTTCAATTATTAAGTCATAACTACAGACACTTAAGAACATACATTTATTGTTTATTAATATATGCATGCATTTTAAATAAATTACTAAGCTAATTAGCTCATTAACTCGATATATATGTTAATTTATTAATAAAAATTAGTAATTAATATGATTGCTTTGCTACTTTTAGTAAAGTTAAAAAAAATATATTACTAATTGACAATGTTTTTTAAAAGAACATGTAAAGCCCATAGAAAGAAATTATTGCCTTTTCAGAATAATAATGCCCTTTTTTTAAACTTTTGCACCCTGCCCTTTTTTCTGCCTAGAATGAGTTCTGTTTCTTATTTAGCCCAACTAAACAGGTTCTAATGTAGGGCAGAAAAGTTCCTAGTTTAGAGAAGGGTAAATGGCAGCGCTAAGAAAACCTCAATTTCCAATTGTGCATGGTTGACACACATAGAAAAAGGGAGATGGAGCCTATTAAAAAGGTTCATGATTATATTTTTTTAAAAAAAACCAAAGGAATTATTTTATTTAATTTTTAAAAAAAAATACTTTAAGAACTCCAATTTATGCTTGGCTAAACTTTATAAACATAATAAATTAAAATTTATGACTAATAAATCATGGGTCTTTTTAAATTAACTCAATACATTAAAAATGAATTAGTACAAGCAAATGCATGATTAAAATTTATTGGAAATGAAATAAGATTGGAACAGGACAACTCAAAATAGAACAGTACAATTACTAAAAAAACAGTAAAAAAAAAACACCCAAATTTCAAGAATATTATTATTTAATTAAATAAAATCTAAAGAATTCACAATACAGTCTTTGTACTCAGCTTGCAGTCTGAAAAATTTACAGGAATTATATGATTTCCTCATTATTTCAAAAGTCTTGTAATTTATTTCATACTAATACTAGGGTAATTTTGATTATTAAAACTTATTAATGCAGCAATATACTGACATACAATTTTGAAATCATGTAGATCAATAAAAAAACTTGTATTAAGTTGGTTTGTAAGTTTATAAATGGATATTTTTTTAAAGAAAATCATTCAATTTAAATCAATGATTTTCTTTTTAAAAAAAAAAAATTTGTTGTTTTTAATTACTGAACACAGCCTCTCAGTATTTAATTACTAAAAATAGCTCGCTTTAAAACACTGATAATAATTGCATGAAACTTGTTCAGATTAATAAAATAAAATAAATAATCAAAAATAAATATTGATTTCAGAAGGTTAAAGATAAGTGTCAAAACTTATATGCATTTAAAAAATGAAAATGCAACGATAAAATTTTTTATACATTTTGACGACACACATGTATTAATTTTTATGGGCTGTGTCACCTCTCTTATGGCAGCTATAGTATTTTCAGGAGCATCATGACCTCCACCTCTATGAGCGAAGACGGGCAAATCAGTTGAGTTTGCCTTCAAAAGAACATTTTTCGCTACGTCATCTTTTACTTGTTCAAATGTAATATATTGAAGACCTACTGTTACACAAATGACTACGATCGTGGTAAGATATATGGAAAACATTAAGTAGTGCTGAAATATAAAATAAAAATAACTGTAAAACCAGATCTGAAGACAAGTTAGTAATATAGGAACAGGTGGAAGTTTCTGAAAATTCATATCATTTAGTGACACCTGACTCAATAGTTAAAGAACAGCTTTAAAAATTTTTTTTTTCCAAATAGGTAGGAGAAAATAAGGATGTACAATTTTGTTGTAGATAATTGAGAATGATTTTTGGCGATTGTTTGGCCTAGGTGTTTTGCGCTAAAGCTATAGTTCAAAATAAATTCAACTTATAGCTTGCACTGTAAAATTATACTACAAATGACAGAAAAACATTGGTAGAGAATTATTTTGTCCTCCAAGATAAATAAATTGACTATTTCTAATTAATTTAACGGGATGTGCACACAGTTTTTGCGTCTTTTTTTTTATGACATTCACGAGAAGTTTCGGTTTTAACCGGAAATGATGCAACAAACATTACGTTTTCTAGAATTTCTGGAAACCATTTGTATTCGCCTTTCATCATATGATATGTCAAACTAATTTATATGCGCAATTATGTAAAGAACCCGATTAAGTAAATAATCGCATATTTTACGATCTTATATACATTCCATCAAAATGTCTTTGAATACAGCACACGCAAATGGTGGAGTTCTTATTTACAATGGAGAAATGTGAGTTAATTCATTTAAATGAAATTGTTTCATGACTCGTTTTTTTTTTACTAATTGTTAGATAATTTTTAATATCATTTTAGTAAAATTAAGTAATAATTTAAAAGATTATGTAGTTAAACAGAAATTTTTTGGACTGAATAAATTGTCTGTTTACGAGAAGAATGTACGAATTAATAGCAAACTTCATTAAACTGTTTCTAGAATAATGACACTTATATAAAAATAACTATTTACATTGATATTTATGTAAATGTTTTTATTCATTCATTGATATTTATTTAAATGTTTAAAAGCTTTTTTTCTTCAGTACAAAATGAAAAAGCTAGATATATAGTCATAATTTTAGATGTAGTTACAGATAAATGAATATTTACGGAGATATTCGAGTCAATCATATGTTTCCAAATAGATGCTTTTAGTCTTTCTGAGTCAGTTATTATTACTCCCCATCCCTTGATAGGAAACTGGGTAAAATCTCTCTGAAGGTAAACTTCATGCGATGCATAGAAAAAAGAAAACGACAATATATACCGGTATAGTTTGTTTACGATAAGAACTACCCTCACCACAAAGTCTGAGGCCGTCTGCTGCTATGGAAATTAGAATAGTGCATTTGAGGGAAGGTAGCTTCTCTTCACTCTAGGGATAACACAGTAGACCTAAGAAAAAGATTCCCTTTTCTCACCGACCCAAGCCAAAACCAGTCCTAAACAATGACCCCACACCCCTACTTAATATAGTTGTACCTCGTTACCGCCACGGGTCCAGATGAATGGGTAGGGTAGTCCTTACTTTAGACAAACTGTTAGGCACTAAGCCCAATGAGGAGCTGTAATGTACGCAATTGATCATCTGTCAAGTATCTGAATAAATGTTTTATTTATATGAACACCCAACTAGATTTTTTTAAAAAAACCATCTGTGCTAAATTCAGGTGTAGAAGTGAAAGGAAAGAATTTTCGGTGGGAAAGAACTGAGTTTGCAAGGTTTAGGACAGAATTATGTATTAATCCACGGTTTGAAACAGTCTTGTCTTAAACTATCCAGAACCCTTTTGTTCAAATTATATCAGAATTGAAAAAAAATAATGGGGTGATTTTTGAACAAGAAACGAAATGAAGACAAGTTTTTGTTTTATTAAAAAAACTTGATTTTTAATATTGCATTATTTTTCCTTATGCAAAAACATAATTTATCGATATTTAAAGCATATTCTAAGGATAAGGTATTTACTCTTGTTATTCAATGAATTGTGCAGCTTCAAAAGTTACTCTTTTCCTATTATATTATTTTCCATTAATTATTTAAGGTAAATTATGTAAAAAGTATCAAATATATTTAATTATGTGTACAATGGTTACACGTATAATTTTTTCCTTTTTCCAATGTGCAAGGTTTTGGACACTTTAAGACAATTACAGTTTTAGTCAGTTTAGGACATCCAAAACCGCAACCCTTGGAAAGCATTTCATTTCAGCTTGTGAGGTGGTTTCTAGAAGAAAAGATATTTCACATATGCTGTTATCATTCTTTGCTGAGATAAAGAAAGGTGAAGGATTGATTCTTAGGAAGTAAAATATCTTTACTTATGGTTAAGCAAAAAATTTTCATTCATAAAAAATAAAGGAGCATAACAAATTTTTCTTTCAAATTTTGAAAATTGGTGTACGGTATGAAGAGATAGAAAATAAATTTTTTGGGGCATAAATGACTGTCCAGTGCTTACGGAAGTGTCCGCTATGTGGGAAATATATAGTTTGTCTGAAATAAGAACTCCCTCAGACATTCGTCTGGATCTGTGGTGATGACTATGGTAACAAGGTATGACTATTTCAAGTAGGGGTGCAGGGTCACTGTTTTGGAGTGGTTTCAGCTCGGGTCGGAGAGAGAAGGTATTGTTTCCATAGCACCAGACGGCCACAGACTTGGTGGTGGGAGGACTTTTTTAACTTAGACAAACTATACTTAATGGTTTATTCATAGAAGATTCACGGGGAAATAAAAATTTGACCGTAATAAGAGGCGTCCATTTTGTAGGAGTGCCCGTAACACAAGGTTTCACTATATATGTATGTATATATAAACTTTTTAATAAAGCTTCTCTAAGCTAATTTTCTCGCTAATAAAAGTTTATCTTTTCATGCAGAATTTTATTGTATTGTGATGGGGTGGAGTTTATAATTGAAGGAAATGATGTGAAACAGTTTGGAGGTACCAAGAAGGGCAGAATGTATCTAACCACTCACAGGGTTAGTAAGTTAGTCCATTCTTCTTATTATTATATCATCCGATAAATATCTCAATGTATTTCTTTCTTTTTTCTTTCAGATAATTTTTATGAATAAATCTGAGAAAGATGCTCTGCAGTCTTTCAGTTTCCCGTTCTTCTCTTTGTCAGGAGTTGAACTGGAACAACCCCTTTTTGGAGCAAATTACATCAAAGGTGCCGTGACTGCCCAAGCTGGAGGTAACTCTCAGTGTCGCTTGATTCTTCACAAATAAGTTTATAAATACAGTGACCTCTCGCTACTACCATATCCGATACGAAAATAAATCCACCTATTTCGATAATGTTTCGCAGTCCCGACGAACTTTCATATCAATTAATGTTATTCAACTCTCATTATTACAATATTCTCTGAAGTAATAAACCCCTGTGAAACAAATTTTTTTCATCCAAATTTCAAACTTATTTTCTCCATTTATTATTGGTTTTCAAATAATGTAAAAAATCTCATTTTATCATATTTTGCCTTTTTCTTCTGACAAGAAAAAGACTCAGTGCTGACGACCCCCAAGAGCTTTCATTCTTAGAATTACCTCCCTTATCACATTTCTATCTAATTTAATTTCCATCATGTTAAAAGCGGATCATGACCACACGCATCACATTAACACCTGAGAGAATTTTTTTCTGTAGAGGCTGGATGGAACACCCTTAACAAACAGAAATCATTTTTGTACGCACTTGGAATTTAATGCATACTTGTTGGTTGACTTAACTGTCAGAAGAATGAACAAAAATATCGGATTGTTTTTAATAAAAACTGTGACATTGTTTTATTTCAATTGTTTCTGCAAATTAATATATACATTTATAGTTAATACATATCCTCTTGTGTAATAACAATCTTCTTCAAAAAATAGTGTTGTAGAGAGGTTTTACATTGTGTGAAATTTTTGTGTTGTAGGAAACTGGACAGGCAGAGCAACATTTAAGTTGAAGTTTTTCTCTGGAGGTGCCATTGAATTTGGTCAAGCAATGGTAAAAGCTGCAAAAATGGGTAAAATAGTTTCTTTGATTTGTTTTGCACTGATTCTCATCCTTTTTTTGTTGTGGCACACTCTTAACGATTTTGAAATTTAACGGCACACAGAGAGAAAAAAATAAACTTAAAAAAAGTTGTTTACTTACCTATAATGCACTTTGTAAATTAGTTTATGATACTAATTTTGAATGTGAAATAAAATATGTACTACAAGAACAACAATACATTTATTAAGGGATTAATTACGAATGAACAGTTATTCTTTTTTTTTGCTGTTTATTAATTTTTAGCTTTTTTTTATAGTTATTAACTATAAGTTATTTTTGCATTCATTGTTATGTTTAGTGATCCCTTGTTAGCTTGTTTTTTTGTTTATTATTAATTGTTAGCTTTCTTTGTTATCCTTTGTTAATTTGTTTTTATAACTATTAATGGCTCAGCTTATTTTAATTGCTAACTTTTATTTCCTTTTGCAAGTAAATATTTTACTTGCTTTCTTTTGTTAATTACTAATTTTAATAGTCATTAAATTTCCTACTTATTTTAAGATTGTCAGAGACAGAACTATCGCCGTCCAAGATGTTCACGTCATTAAAGCGAGGAGAAATTATAAAAAGTATATATATAATATTGTATATAAATGCTTTTCTTTATTTAAACTTTTCATCGAAATCAAAGAAAAAGCATTCTAATTTTTCTAAAATTTGGCAGCAAGCAAAAGTGCCATGGCGCAGTAATTGAGAATCACTGGTCTGGAGACAGTTTTAATTTTATGTTCCCCTATTCCAATAGGATGTTGAAAAAAAGTTGATGTTTCTTTTATATATATATCTATGGATGCAGAAAAAAAGACAAAAATAGAGTTAATATTTATTTCAAGAACTGCAAAGTAGTAATATAAATAAAGAAAATTCTCTTAAATTATGATGAAAATGAGTTAAGGAAAATTTCCTAATGTTGTACATACTAAAGTGTAAAAGATTGAAAATAAAGCTTAACATATAAAATTCTTCCATGGTAGTATAGTGTTGTTTTAAGCTTATGATGATTGAGAAAGTTATGGAAACCACCCATATTTCACAATTTCATGATGGAGTTTTTAAATTTCATGATGGAGTTAGGTTAAATATTCTGTACAAGATGCATCAGGGTGCGTTGAATTTTTAAAAAGTGCTGAAAGGTGCTTATTTTCGATTTTAGTTTTTTAAAAGCCCTTAAAGGTGCTTTTTGCATTCGGTGCTTTTAAAAAGTGTTTAATTTTCCCTTTTTCAAAATGATATTTTTTTTTTTACTATGTGGATTTTCGCTTCGTATTATGCAGAAAGACAATTCACATTGTTCTATCCAACGTTTTCACAATTTATTTAATCCTAATCTATTTCGGCGTATTGTCAGTCCATAGGGAATGAAAACACTTTTTGTTTTACATGATTCAAAATTTCATGATTTTTGACAATCGTCAAAAACAATGCCAAAAGTTTTTTTTTTATATGATGATTAAAACAAGATAAAACTGTTAATTGTAAAAAACTTGCCAACGCTGCCTAATTATATATTTTTTAAAGTGCTTAAAAATATTTTTTGAGTGCTTAAAAGGTGCTTATTTTTTGTTAAATAATTTGGCTACGCACCCTGTGCATGTGATTTAAACATATCAGTAAAAAAAAAAACAGTTTATCAAATATAGTTTTAAATAAAATATGGAGTAAAATTTTGCAACCTTATATCAGGAATGTCTGAGAAGAAGTGAGGGACATGAGATGAAATATAATTATAAATGACGGAATTACGGCACGCCTCATACACGTTCCTTGTTGGCACCAAAAAGCATTTTGCTGATTTTAAAATATACTTCAAAAAAAAAAATGCTTGACCACCACCCACTCTGTTTAGTATTTATAATTAATTAAATGAAGTGTAATAATTGAAAGAGTTTAGAATGACAGAGCACTACAGGACAACTTTCTGGTGTGTATTGAAAAATGTTTTAATAATGTGATGTCCTTTTGAATTTGTTTAATCCTTAATATATATTTTAATTATCTTCCATGGTTTTGAAAATTAATTATTTGAGCATTGCAACTGATTAGAATCTCAATTTTGTTTTTGAATTATGCATACTTTAAAAATACTTTATTTTATGTTCATTGAGTTTTTCGAGTAATCGAAATGTATTTTTTTGGTTTTTCACTCAGATTTAAGTCAATTTCATTCAAAAAGTCTCCAAAGTTGAGGTTCTAATGTTTGTCTTTAGAATTATATTTAAAATTTCAAAAGAGAATAAAAGATTAATAAATTATATAAAAAAAAATGCTAGGTATTGCCTGACTTCTTTCTTCATTATTTTTATTTTTGAAATTTTTTTTTCATTTAATTAAAAATACATTGATTGCAGCTAGTCAGTACATGCCTCCCCAACCTCCTGCCTATACTCCTCACCAGGGTCCCTATTTTCCTGCTCCACCTCCAGCCTACATGCCACCCGAAGGTGGCGTGAATGGATTCATTCCTCCTACTGATGTCTTTCCAAATGCTCCTCCTGGTGAGTTCAATGAAGTGATCTTTAATTACATTTTAATATGCATCAATGGTTAATTCTGATACTTATGATTAATAGCTCTGTGAATTTTCATTTTTATTGCCAACATTTGCAATAATAGTATTTCTGTTTGAGTTGCTCATGAAGAAGTGAGTTAAGAAGTGGACCCTTGTGGCAGAATCACAGTGAGATTGTCGCAGAATGCTACAGAGTTCTTGCAGAAAGATTTTTCTTTTAAAAAGTAAAAAATTGCAGTTTTATTTTCTACAGAAATTGGCACGTCATATTTGAATCGTCAGTAGAATTTTGTGAAGGGACACATTTTAGGAAGTTTAATTTTGTGAAGAGGCAGCCAATCGGCCCAGATTTCCTCATGGATTGACCCCCGATTTCTGTCCTGAAATTTTTTTTATTATAATAAATGAACAAATATCTTGCGTTTTTTTTAATCCTTTGTTTTTATTTCGTGTTATTTTATTGATGCATTTAATGATAGTTGAAGATAGTTACATAATTTAAGCTTTCCCCCTTTTTTTTCTGCCTGTAGGTTTTTTCCCTCTCGTCTTCACTCTCAATTATCTCCAATTTATCTTTTATTTTATAATAGAAAGTAAAATAAATAGCATTTTTTTTAACATTCTTCAAGTTTTCTCTTATCTAATTTAATCTTTAATATATTCCCTGTCGACGAAATTTGAAGACAGAAAAACTCCTACTTTTTGTATTGTGAATCGTTTTACTTTCCATTATGTTTTATTCCTATTAGTTAAAACATAAATTTTATATTTTAATAAAAAAAATTTCAGAATACTTTTGTTTTAAACACATTTCATTTGTAAAGACATACATTTCTAATGCTTTTCTCTCTATAATGTTTGTTTTAATTTTTTCTTCATAATAAAGGGTCAGACCTCTTTTGTTTATTTTGTTATCAAATTTTCTTTATTTTTTTAAATAAATATGCAGAAAAATATTATTCGTCATTAAGAGGATGATCCTATCCAGTTGTCATTTTATTTTTAGAAACACTATTTTACTTAGTTAATTAAGTGAGATTTTAATTATTATTGAATTCAGAATGCTTATATATTGTAGTTTCTTTTGTGTGATGATTTCGTATTTTTAAAAAGATTTTTTTTTTATGAACTGGTATCTGTGTATAGCAAAGATAATTATAAACTTGCTAAATTTTATGATTTATTATTATAAAGTCTTGCTTTGCCAGGGATCTATTCAGGGAAAATTTACTACCGTTTAACGGTTCCTTCACAAATTCAACTTTAGGAAAAAGCAAGTTGTAAGATTCTCCTCCCCGCCTCTTAAGACTTTGTTTTTGTGTCCTAGTAAGATAAGATAAATACCAGGTTAATTCAGCATATATTAATAGGTAGCACGTGCTTGGTGAGATAGTGCGGTGTTGTAAGTCTAATCGGTCACTTACGCCATATTTTTTAGCAAGCTTTTATTTTGCAGAGTTTTTTTTTTTTAAATTAAATTATCAGGCTCTCCCTCTGAAAGTTGAAATTCTTCCATTATTCTAAACATTCAACATTGTTCTAAATTTATTCTAACAGACCTTTATTTATTTATTTTTTGAAAAATGTTTTTCTCTGTGAAACCTTTTTCCATATGACGCTATGGGAAATGTTCTCATAATGAAAATAACTTTTACTGTAAGGACTGTTAAATGCATATTTTTTTTTATTTATTTATTTATTTATTTTGCAAAGCACAAGTTGACATGCATGGACAAGTTGAAATTTAACAATGGACAATGATTTTTATGGATTTTTTAATTTGGATACAATTTTAAGCCCAAATTTTTACAATAGCAAAATCATTTTTGAATATATGGGTAAAGATATATAAAAATTTATCAGTCATAAGTGATTTTTATGTGTAGTGACAATTTTTGGAAATATCTATTTTTGTGTTGATTTTTTAATATAATTTTTCTCATTATGCAGTCGTAATGTAAAAAATTACTGGGATACTTTATCAAAGTATCCCAGTAAACGTAAACAAAGTATCAAAATGTTATTTTAAAAAAATATTTTTTCCTTTTATATTATATATTTTTATTGTCTTTAATGCCCTGCCATTTTTTCTGAGTATTGTGGAGTTTTTAATTGAAATAAAATATGCAATATAATGTGTAAATTACAAACATAAAATTTTTTGTGGTTAACTGTATATAATAGCCACTGTCAGTGATTACTGAGATATTATACTGATTTTTTTTTAAAAATGTGTTTGGAAAATTGAGGAATTTTGTTATTTTATTTATGTAGCTAGCATGTATTTTTACTAAAGTATTTCTGTTAATTTTAAGCAAAATTTCACTAATTAACAAAAATAATTGCAGTCGAACTTGTTTATCTCGAATCTCACGGGAAGGACAAAAAATTTGAGATAAAGAGGTTTGGAGTTATACAAGTACTTTAAAAAATTAAATTTAATTAAGAAATTCTTCCTTTACTTGTTTTTAGTAGAAAAATACAGACATTTCTGTAAATTAATTATACCAAATACATCTATTTACATAAAAAAAACTTTCACATTCATTTAACACTGAAAATATTTTTCAAAGATTTTTGAAGTCTAACCTTCTTTATTTTGATAATTCTTTTAAGCTTAGAAAGAGCAGCAAATCCCCTATAGCCAATATTTTCTTAGGAACCTCTTTTGTTCTCTGACTGTATTGTTTTCTATTGTTCACTTTAAAACTCCTAATTATCCTTTGATCCATTGGTTGCAATTTTGAGGTGAATTTCTATTCCTGCCCTTCTTATCTATGTTGAAAAGCTAACCACCCCTGGCTCATCCACCTCTCACTCACTGCCAGTATCATTGTAAAGTTAAGGAAGTGCAGGGACAGTGATCGAAATTTCAAGAAACATCCCCGACCTGTCCATCTGTACTTCCTGTGGGTTTACGAAATTAATGTCTTCTGTCTGCAAGTTCTACTGATAAAGAAAGTTATGTTGTTTGGACATTTGTGCTCGATTATTAGAAATTCGAGAAACAAAGGTTTTTAAAAAAAATGTTCAACATAAGCATGGAAAATACATTGATTTTAGACATTTCGAGATAAAAAGGTTCAAATGTATAAAAGTGAAATAAAATTTAGTTCATCTCTAGTTCCCCCCCCTTGCATTGCTAATTCTCAAAGCGGTATAACATAAAAATCGTATATTTTTTTGTTCCTTATTATGCCTGATCACAACATTGTGTTAAACATAGATTTTTCTTAGAAAACCATGTTTCAGTGCCAATTATTACCCTATAAAAAATAAAGTTGATACAAACTTGTGGTTTATTTTAATATCCCCCTCCCCCCGTCAAACTCACATAACATTTCCTATATGTATGTCTAAGTCATATTGCACCCTGCATTTTTCTTGGTGCAAGTTTTTACACTCAGTGTGTCTTTGAAATACCTGAAAAAAAAGAGAAAAATTGTTTTCTGTTAAAATACTAAACTATAATGTTTTATTTGCAGCTAACAGTGTTTATACTATGGATATGCCCCCTCCCTATCCTGGCATCTATCCTCCTCCCTATGCCTATGCTCCTGGCTCAGGAATGTATCCGCAGGCTGCATCTACAGGACTGTTCAATCATCCGGGGGCTCCTCCTCCTCCTGGATTCAATTCTGATGGTGGAGCCACTGCACCTCCTCCTTACGGACACTATCAGGGATCTACTTCAGATCAGGCTCCTCCACTAGGTACTCTATGTAATTTATTCCTTCTAAAGTATCATTAAATATATGTTATTTTTTTGTTTTATATCCATCGTCGAACAGCCATCCCCAATATTGGGTTTACACCTACTAATGTTCGACTCCGTAGACTTGTCATTTTGAACCCAATCCAGAAGACAAGGAAGCTCCTGGATCAGTACCCCCAGAGGTATAATTTGTTATGAGTACATGGAGGACTTTGTGACTCAACAGATTTAACGTGCATCGGTCGCCATTTACAACACGGAGAGTCAATGGCCGGTCTGGGATCGCATCCACAAAACGCTTGCACGTGGGCTGAGTGCCCTACCGACCAGGCTATCCCGGCCAAATAAAATATATGTAATGCCAATATCAGCAAGCTTGTTGTGGGAAACCAAGTGAATTTTAGGCAAAGGGCAGGTTTTCTGACATCTTTTTAGCCACACACGCGTCACAGTTTGTTTTACAGGTAGGGCCCTTTCATACTCCATTCATCCGCAAATTTTAATTTTGACCTAAACCAGGGAGCAAATTAAACTTCAGTTCAGTACCCTCAAAGGTATTGATTTATTATGGGAATTTGGAGAACTTTGTGATCCCATGTGCATCAGTCACCATTTAATGCACAAGAATCCTGCCGAAGGCTAGATTCAAACTCACGTTCCCAACATCTGTGCCATAATTAAAAAATTAATTAGTAGTTTATGTGTTAAAATTAGTTAATAAATATGTGTATATTATTTAAGACATTTAGCGAAAATAGGAGATATTAGGTTTTTCTTTTAAAAAAACTAATTATAGTAGGAGCTATTGGTTTGATGCTTAAGTTACAAGAAGATGAGTCAAGTATAGATGGCAAACTCATTGTTTCACATCATCGGCATGGGTGCTATCGGGTGAAGGAAAAAAAAAAGATTCAGAAGGAAAGCACAAAATATTTTGTACAAATATTTTGAAAATGAATGAAAAAATTAATTTTATTTTTGCAAAGTTCTAATTTTTTATTTGGATATTTCATTGTTACTCTGATGTTAAAGCGAAAAACAAGGGAATCACGACTATAGGTGTGATACACTTATCTTTGCCGACAAGAATGAGTCCAAAAATATTTGAACTCTAAAATATGTTTGAGATGAAATACAGTCAGACCAAAATCCAGTTGAGTTGGTGACCGAAAGAGACCGAAATTTCGGTTCACTCTATCCGTTCTGAAAACAATTTTATCTAATGGTTTCAAACTTTTTTGTTACATATTATTTAAATAAATGACCCATAAAATGAAATACAAAAATGACTGAAAAATAATACGTAGCAACAAAAATGTGTTCACTTTTATTTTTTGTTGCTCTTCGTCTTGTATTGCAAAAAAAATAGTAATTTTTAGCTGAGGAACAAATCCTCCACATCAGACATTTCCCAACTCTCCAATAATTTTTCCCGAACTTAATATTATTCCGCCAGGCATTTGTACACATAAAAATAGTTTCACCAAATTCATCTGCTTTGACTTGAGGCATTTTGTCCAGATACTGGAAGATTGCGTCTTTTTTTAATGCTGAAAAATGAAGTAAACAAGAAACATTGCTACATTCCATGCCATTAAAAATTGGTATATGTATTTTGAAGTAGAAATTTCAAAATTATTGCATAAAAAATGCTGAAAATAAATCAGACAGAAAAACTATATTTTTTTCTTCTTCACTCTCACCACAAAAAATAACACATAAACATTTCCTTCCCGGAGTTGACTGTATAATCTAATAGAAGGATTATTTATTTGTCTCTAAAAGAAACTTTGTTGTTGTAGATTCAAAATCTGGTTATCCACCACCCATGCAAACCTTCTATCAGCATCCCTATAATCCTCAAACAATGTATGGGCCTCCAACCAACATCAATAATCAACAAAATGGGGTATGTTACGCCTTTTCCTATTTTATATGTGTGTGTTTTTGAGGTTTAATACAGAGAGTTTTTACAATTCTTTCGGATCACTCGAATAAAGTTTATAAAATAGGAGATGAATGGCCTCTCAATGGATTTTTTTTTTAAAAGTCTGCAATTTACTTACTCAGATGTTTTTTAGGGTCGTAAAAGAGCGATGCTTTTTGTCCTAATAATGAAAGAGGTGTTCAATTTAAGATATTCTACCTTCTGTTTCTCCTTGTGATGTAAAAGATGCTAATTTCTTAAATTAGTTTTCTCCAAGTTTTAGTTATTAACTATAATTTTTCCCCCAACAAAACCGTCTTCAATTGGTTTAAGCCATTCACCAATAAAGCAGCCTAAAACCAAAATTGTCTTTGGTACACAATTTAAATTAATATGGGTGAACACTAATCATACCAACACTTAATGTATACCTATTTCTACCATCAAATGACCAAACTTTGTTTCTTGATTGAATGTATGAAATATGGATGTTAGGAAGGAAATAAACTACAAAACTTTATTATAATGAAACAAATTGTATATTGCTAATTTTTATGTATTTAAAAACACAAGGAATAAGAATTTTTAATTCATTGCTCAAAGCATTTTTTACATATGCAAGGTGTTTCTATTGTACATTTTCTTCAAACATATTTCTTCTGATTATTATTATTTCTATAGTTCTTATAATTATAATTCTTATAATTAATATTATTTCGTCTAATAACTTGTGCTGTCTCGATTGTTTCGACATTTTCCTCGGTAAAAACGAAAAGTTAGAAATGAAGTAAAGCTATCAAAATAAAATGTAAGCTACTTACCAAAACATTTAGTGTTTGTCACTTTTTCTGACACAAAAGTGCCTATCTAAAATGTTAGGTACTTTCTTGAAATTTGAATTAACAGTTATTCTGATTGAACTCACTACACACAGCAACTCGTTTAATGCAATATGTTGAACAGGCATCACGTCGTCATTTCTGATCCGATAACCTTATAAATTGTTCTCCTGTTCGAATGACTAGTTGTGGTAGAAATAGGTATAAGACAAGTATTATTCGAAACAAACAAAGTACAAAAAATAATAATAGAATATTAAGTGTGTATAATTGTTAGAAAAAGTCATGAAGTGCAAAAACAATAAAACGATATGCGCATTTTCGGTGCAAAAGTTCTTAAATGGTCATTTGGTATGTTTAGTGTTAAATGAAAGCCAAACGAAATTTTAAAAATAAGCATGTTAGCAAAGACAGTATTTCTTCAGGTGACACACTGCCCTACTAACATGCTGGAACTTTTCTGTGGTCAATGGTTCAACCAAAAACTGTAAAACCGTGTGTTTGGCGCAGTATGTCCGTTTTTGGACCTTGTGCCACTAAACCCCACATTCAATCAATCAATCAATCAACCAAAAACTGACTGTGCCCCTGAGACCCCCTATTGGAAGTCAAAATAAGAATAAAAACACAATACTTTTAAGATTAAAATAAAATAAAAATACAGAGAAACACAATTATATTGCCCTTTCCTGTTATATTTAATTTCAGTTGATTAAAGCTTAGAAACTGTGTTCTGAACTATACCTCATTTGTCTTAATTGTGAGTTGTATTGGTTTGTATAGGGTCTAATTCAAAGTAGGGTAAAAATTAACAATAGCTCATTTGTCTAAATAACAATATTTAAGTATCTTCGCTCCTGTCAAAACCATCATGTGAGTCAAACAGGCATGTTATTTTGACTGTACTAAAATACTTTTCTTTACAGCAAGAACCACCGCCTCCTTACGGGTTTGACAACCACAAGAAAGAACAGTAAATAAGTGGAGATATCTATGTTATTTTGAAAAACTCTCGCCTAAGCTGTGTGTACACTATTATGGGTGCATCAAACGTTTGTAGCTTTCTGTGTATAAGATGTTAATAAATTCTTTATTGTTGTTCCTCATGATGAGAGAAGAATTCTTTTGCTATGTAAAAGCGATACTGTACTCTGGATTCATATAAATTAAGCATAACTTATCAAATTTTATTTGATTGTTTTCTCACAGTAATGCGTTCAAAAGAACATATATAACCACCCGAGTAGGTCAATAATCAAACAAGTAAATTATTTTTTAGCTGTTTCATTATAAAATATAGAGCATCAGATACTAACTAAAGCTAACAACAAAAAAGAAGATATCCCTATCATACTATACTTAACCACTTTACTCCATCTCAGAAAACAATTCATACTAAAAAGAATGTCTTTCAGATGTCCCTTTACCAGTTAGAACTGAAATTTCATAATTTCTGCCTGTTTTTTCAATGATTCTATTAGTAGACAGTTCATAAGCAGCTGTGTAAGTGGGTCATAAAAAGATAGTTGGTAAACATTTTATCAGTCTCTGAAACTTAAATAATCTCAGCAAATGTCTCTTTTAACGAATTCTCAATTTAAAAGGAGAAAATAGCACCTTACTATATGCTGAGATTCAATTTTATCATCTGCATAGAGCTTTACTATGCATATTTCAATGCACAGATCACAAACAAATGAAACAATAACTAAGCAAATCAAAGAATAAATGAATCCACAAAGCATTCAATCAATGAATGAGCACAATAATGCAGTGCAATTGAAAAAACAACAAAAGTGCTTCACTATAGATTCCGAGAAAAGTGGCTGGACAACTATTTTATTTCTATTGCCTATGTTATGAACGCTGAAATAGAATATAAAAAAAACCGATAAAATTTTTTTCCATGTGTAGCTTACCATACAAATGTGCCAAAAATTTCAAATGTGAATTGTTTACCGCTTGCGTTGATTTTTCAGTTGCACGGCAGAATACCGAACCAAAGATAGTCAGTTAATCAGGAAATGAATGATTGAGAGAGACACTATCAGCTCAGTGAAATAATGGCCCAATAGTGACAAACCTGAATTTTATATTCTCTAAATTATTTATTACCTCAATTTTTTTCAGAAAGGAAAAAAAAAAAAAATTGTGCACAGGTGAAAGACCACACGCCTTCCAATGAACTGACCTATCTGGATTTTCCTTCTGGCTCGCACGGGGGTGACATAAATATCCTCAGTGGTAGACGACGGATCATGGGTTTAGACCAGAGGTCGCCAAAGTGGTCTATATAGACCCCCAAGGGTCTATTTAACCAAAGCAGGGGTCGATCTGAGACTGGGGGTCGATCCGAATCGGAGGGGTCAATTGTGGGTCAAAAGAAGAAACAGTTCTCAATACGCAAATCACACATACCTAATTAAGTATGTAAAATTTGTGAATTTTTTTTACAATTGACTCAATATCAGTTTCTTTATAAAACATAAATTAATAAACGTATATTTATTGGGGTGAAACAAGTATTTACGTACCACCGCGCAGTGGCACGAACTCAGCGCAGTTTATAAGTCATATGCATATGTGCGCTTGTCCAAATGTCACGTGTGACGAGCATTGACGTTACAAATGCAAATATCATACGCAGTTTCAGCTATCTTTGCAAACTGTGTTGAATATTTGCAGTGTCATTATTAAAACTTTTATAGTTTTGGATAATTAGTTATTGTTTCGATAAAACCATTCGTTTGGTTTAGATATCAATTTTAATTATCAATGCACAAAAAAGAAGGTAAGCATTAATAATATGGATTAGTACAGCCCGCGACAAAACTATAGCACACTTTGTATTTTTTTACGAAAATTACAAAATTGACCAATTTTGACGAAAATTAAAATTGACCCATTTTGAACCCAATATAGCGAACCTTGCAAAAAAACACCAGGCCCACCCATCTCATTGATCAAGAAGCAGTAAATCTTTAGTTACTTTACTTATTATATCTACTTATGCATAATTACTTATTATTTAATAATAAGGTATTTAAATTTCAATATTAATATATTTTTCATAAAACTATTGTTACATAATGTACTATTACTTTAATAAATGTTTAAAATCATAAAATAAATGTACAAACACAGTATCTAATAGAGTTTTATTTTAATTAACAGAAAATTACTTTTGCGGGGGTCGATGGAAATTTCGAAAAATTATATAGGGGTCGATAATCAAAAAAGTTTGGCGACCCCTGGTTTAGACCTTCGGACTAACAGGTTTCCCCCTCTATCTGACGCAGATACGGGTTAATTCTATCAAAAAGTTCTCCACGAAAGATAGTGTATCTCAAAGCTTTGATCTAGGAGTTCCTTTAGCTTCTGGATTGGATTCAAAATGAAAAGGCTATGGAGTTGTACATTGATAGTTGTAAACTCAGAATTAGGTCGGTTATAAAATAAAATAAATATTGTTTCTTTCAAAATTATATTTTATAGGTTTTTTTACTTATATATTCTTAGGTTAACTTTATGGTTTAAGTTTTCTTTGTAAAAGTATTTCTAAAGATGTAAAGAAAAGGTGTGCAACAGAGATTGTGTGACATTGAATGAGTTTTCCAGGAAAGATTTATGGGTGAGGAAACTATTAAAAAAAACAAGGGTTGAAGAGGGGAAGGTCAGATTCTCAAAAGTCAAGATATTTAAAATTCGATATTTCAGAAACTATTCAGCAGAACCAAATCATTCAGATTTTCTTATTTGCCCTATAAAATTACAATCTATATATCCTTGCAATCCATCAAATTTTTGTTCCGAATATTATTGAATAAAAATTTTTTTTTATTGAAAATTATTTTTTGCGTGATATTATCTTTTCATAATTGAATTATATCATTTTAAGCAAAAAATTTCAATCCTTTTAAAATGTTTTCGAAATATGCAAAAAGTAAAAATAACCATATAAAGAGTCAAAACTTATGATCCCTCTTCTGACTAAACTACCTCCTGTCTGAATTATCCCAGATTGCGGTTAGTTTAGTCCAGTGTTTCCCAAAGTGTGGTACGCGTACCCCCAGGGGTGTTCTGATGTGAAATATCAACAAACGAAAATTTTTAAAACAAAGCTAGCCACGAAAATTTACGATGACGTATTTTTCTATTGGCTATTTTTTGCAGAGTTAACAGTTAATAATGAGTGGCATCAACAGCTAGTTCTGTTTTTTAACTTTAGTGCAATTTTTTATAGTGAAAAATACAAAATTTTTTTTATTAGTGGTACACAAAAGTCATAAGTTTGGGAAACACTGGTTTAGGGTAAGGAATCCGTCCTAGAAAAGGTGGTCTTGTGCATGATGTCTTAACTTAAAATATTGTTTGCACTGACTAATTAGCATATCTGAAGTTACCCCCTTCTAACCGCCCAGTGTTCTAATAGAAAATCCGATAATTAAATCAAAAACTAATCAAGATATTTAGTTTTTCTTTGAGCACCGTACAAACACGATTTTCCGGGAAGCTGAAGTAAGATTTCTTTTTCCCTACAAATATTTGCCAAAACCCGGGCTCAATAGCTCTTTATTCGTCTAATTTATTTAAACGTTTATTTTTAACTTCAATGGGGTTTTTATTTATATATTTTTTGTATAAAGTTTTATAAACCTGTATTATAAACCTTAGTTATAGTTTTATAAACCTTAGAGAATATCTAATCTTTCCCAAAAAGCAATAATCAAATCCATTTTATTATTATTACACTAGGTCATTTCTTCATAAATATTACAATCTCTTCATGAGAAGTGTTATTAAGAACGATTTTAGATAGAGAATGAAAGAAAACCAATCGGTGAATAATTGCGTAAACAACCGAGTCAGCAATGAATTTGTTTATGGGCGAGTTATGGCATGTAATTTTTTTTGTCACACTAGAGTTGCACAATGGGCTGGGCAAACACCCCGATCCGACACCATGCCATTACAAGTGGCCCGACAACTTGCGTGTGAATTCTAGCACTTTACAGTAGAACTGCTTAATGAAGACATTCGGTTCATACACAGGCTAATTAAAGTGGTCATCACCCATCCGTTTACTGACCACAGTCATCAGTGATGTTCTAGTGGGGAAACACGTTTTTACGATCGGTCCACTGAAGGGCATTTTAATGACAATAATCGGTGAATGAGTTGATAAATGCATAAAATTTTTTAACTTTATAAATTGAGTCATCGACAAAGCATTTTGATTTTTTAACAAAATAGTTGAAACATCTCACTTGCACCGGAAGAGTATTAAAAATGCAATGAAACTTATCCAAACCGAATGAAAATTATAGAATTTAAAAAACTTTGTTTGGAAAAGCTCATTAAATACAGGTTCTCATTTATACGAGTTATATTGAGGAGCAAAAGTTTAATCTGTCTCCGGAGATACAAAAAACTTTCCCGATTAATATTAGTAATTATATTTATTTGTATAACTTGTTTTTAAATTTGCTTTATAAAGTTTAAAAACAAGCATTTTGAAATATCAAAATATTTACTCCTTTTGTTATTACAGACTATTTTAACATTTCTTATTTAATTTGTAAAAACTTTTAAAAAAACTAAATAAATGTATTTTATTTTATAACCGTCGTTGAACAGCCGACCCAATTTCATGGGTTTACGACTACTTACGTTCAACTCCGTAGCCTTGTAATTTTGAACCAATCCAGAAGACAAGGAAACTCCTGAATCAGTACCCCCAGAGGTATGGATTTGCTATGGGAACATGGAGGACTTTGAGACTCGACAGATTTAACGTGCATCAGTCACCATTTACTACACGGGGAGTCTTCGGCCGGCGAGGATCGAATCCACGACCTCTTGGATATGGGCCCAGCGCCCTACCGACCAGGCTATCCCGGCCCTAAATAAATGTATTGTATTTTCTTATTTTAGACTATGGCTGGGAAATTATTTTTTTAAAAAAAAGGACAAAAAATTATTTCTGTTCTAATTGTTTTTTTATGCACGTTTCTTAAATCATCATATTTTAATATAACCCTCGTTGAACAGCCGAATCAATTTTGAGTTTACAACTACCAATGTTGCAGCCTTGAAATTTTGAATCCAATCCGGAAGACAAGGGAACTCCGGGTAACTCACATTTGCGTTACGTACAGAGGGAAAACTCCCACAGTTTGCCTGACAACCCATTATCTGCCTACCACTATTTACATTACCCCCTGTTGTCGACGCGTTCTGGGATTCGAATCAACCCTGGTCACCTATCTTCTGGGCTACCACGGCTAAATGTTTTTTTTTTTTTATAGTCGCTGTTGAACAGCCGACCCATTTTTTGGGTTTACGAATGTTCAACTTAGCAGCCTTGTCATTTTTGAACCAATCCACAAAACTCCTGGAGTGGAGCAGTACCCCCACAGGTATTGATTTGTTATGGGAACATGGAGGACTTTGTAACTCGACAGATTTAACGTGCACCATTTATCTTCGGCCGACGGGGATCGAACCCTTAGACATGGTTTAAAATGCAATTTTCTGCAGAGTTAAGACAACGCCAACGGACAGTTCGGATCGGAGAAGAAGAAAAAAAGTTTTACAATTCACTTTCCAAGATTGAGTGTAGTTTTCAACGTCTTCCGTCGGCACCGGAATGGAATTTGTAAGCAAACCATCTGATCTACATCAATTTATAACTTTTTTTTTATTTGATTTGTTCATTTACTGCTTAGTTGAATTCTTCGATTTGTTGATTCTGTATTTAAACACTCATTTAGCAAATAGGTTATTGTCTATTCTTTGAAATAACTTGATTTATTTGTTGACTTGCTAATTCAGCAAAACCATTGATTACATTTATTTCGATGAGTTTTTCCATTCATTGATTAAGATTTACACGTGAACTTACATTTTTTTAAAAAATTAACTTTAATCAAATTTATTATTTTTAATTTATTACAAATAAGAAAAAAAAAACTTAAAAAAATATGCTTTTTACTATATTGTAATTAGTTTATCTTAATTATAAAAAAATTATCATGTACAATCAGGGTGCGTTTTTTAAAGATCCTTATTTCATTGGGTGTTTTTAAAAAGTGCTTCATTTTCAAAAGGAGATTTCCCCCACGTGTAATGCAAAAACGTCATTGTTATATTCAACGTTTTCACAATTCATTTTGGCGTACAGCCGATCCATAGCGTATTACATGTTTGAGGAAATACTTTCGCATGTGCATTTACTGGGCTGAGTTCGGTGAGATTATTGCACTCTCATGTGCAACTCTGCTGCAGAGATATTCTCTATTTCAGGCTATATCCCGCAGATCACCAAAGTGCTTCCCAGACCGTTGCCCATTGTGCACCTCTAGTGCGACGTAAATGAACTTCAGGCTACATCCCCTGTAATGTCAAACCGAAAATTCTCTTGATCATTTTAGAAAGGCAATTGTATTCAAGAAAAATAGTTATTTTATCATGTGAAGTATTCAAATTATTTTGCATTTTGTTAATGTATATAGTGCTTATTTTTTGTTGAAAGATTTGCCTAACGATGCAGTCTTAAATTTAAAAAATATAATACAGATTTTAATCATTTGTTCAATTGTTTCCAAAATTGTATAATAAGTTACAAAAAAGTTATGTTTAAAAAAATTAACATTTAAGATTTTTTATTATTTTGGTCTGGTTCAGTTTACTAACTTCATATTAGACACAATCCGCTGTTTTTAATGAGATGCGGACTTCTAAAAAGAAGTTAGGCATGTAATTGTAATTTTTTAGGCATGTAAATTTTAAAACTTTGAAAATCAATGACAATGTAATGCAATCTTACATTAAAATGCTTTGTAAATTTAAACTGAATATAATCTACGAGTCAAATTATTTTTTTTTCTCAAATAAATCAATTAAAAAAAAACTCTTGATTATAATCACGATTTTTATCAATAAACTCAAAGTCATATTATCCAAGTGATATTTATTTTCAATGATGCAACAGGTTCTGAATATCCAAATAATACTTAACCACTTCCCTTACCCCATTATTTTGGAAGAAAAAAAAATGCACAAAATCAAAATATTATTTTTTTTTTTCCATTAATAAATACAATGAACTAAAACACAAGTTTAAATTTTTCTTATGTGTAAGAAACATTTAATTAAAAATTAGTTTACTATCCCGAGTTATTTCGGGCAAATGAAAAGAGTTAGTCTTAGTATGATAGTTCTTAAAGCAAGGAACAACACAAGGAATAAGATATTTTTTCTTATTGCTATGTAAATTCAGCAACCATCGTATATAGCAGGGGTGGCCAAGCTCCTTGATAGTAGAGCCATTTTTCAAAATTTGCTCGAGTCGCAATTAAATACGTATAGGCAAAAAAGGTATGAAATTTAAAAATTTTTTTTTTTACTGAAATTATATTTATTTAAAACAAATAAAATAAAAGTACAAAATATGTGCTTTAAATTTAAATATTAAACACATTTATTTTACTTCTCTTGACAATTCTTTAAAATCTGGTGAATAATTGGGGACAACACTTTGCAGTAATTCTTTGAGATAGAGTTAATACTAATTGGTGTTTGGATTTCACTAATTTTAAAGTGGAATAAAATAATTCACATAAGTACGTTGTTCCGAATATTGAAATAATTCGACAAGCAGCTTTTTTTAAATTCAGGATACTTCAATTTGGTACAAATTTCCAAAATTCAGTAATCGACTTATATTTTAATTGTAGAGCTTGATCTTCTTGCATCTCTATGAATTCTAATTCACCAGATGCTTTTTGGGTCATTATTATATTGGAAATGGAAAACACTCAGCCTGAATTATGTTAATTTCAAATGGACATAAAAAGAAATTCAGAAAAAAAAAAATAAATCAAGAGACGATTTAAAATATTTCAAGTCTTGAAATCTATTTCGGAATTCTGTCAATATTCCTTCTAGCTTTTTTATATACTCGTTGGGTTTTTCTTGTTTAATATTGGACGAAATGACAAAATGATTTAATTTTAACGTCCTTTTGAAAAAGTTGTAAGTTAATTTGAAAACTAAATATACACTGTGAGAGGTCAGATATTATTTTATCTTTCCCCTGCAATTGTAAATTCAATGTTCCATGACATCAGTTAAAAACATTAAGTCTTGTAACCACTCGTCATCGTCCGATTCTGAATAGGTTATTTCCTTTTCTTTTAGAAATGCAGTTATCGGATCAAACAAATCTACAAAACAATTTAATACGTTGTAGCCATCTAACAATGCAAAAGAAATTAATGTCATTTGGAAGTTCTTCGTCCTTTAAGGAAATTTTTGAACTGTCAATGATTTTTTGCATTGGTGCGAATGTAATTTACAATGTGTAACACTGTTTTCATAACATCAGGATATTTTAAATATTTTGTAACGAGATGTTCGTGGTGAATTATGCAGTGAATCGGTATGAAGTGTGGAATTTGATAATCATCTCTTAAAATCCCAATAAGACCGATTTTTCTTTACCCAGCATTGCCGAAGCTCCATCAGTTGCAATGATTACAAGTTTATTAAGAAGCACATCAAAAGTTTTCATTATGGAATTGAATGCATTTTTAATATCGACACCGCGGGTTGAAGTGCTACTAAATCTAATAATGCTTCTCTGACAATGAAGTCAGCTGAAACAAAACGTATGAAAACCGCCTATTGCGAAAGATCTGTGACATCTGTCGATTCGTCAAGGATGGATAATAATTTTTTAAAATTATAATAGCACAAAAATAAAACTCTGGTACATTTATCGAGAGCCACAAATAATCCTTCAAAGAGCCACTCCTGGTATCGCACAAAACATGTGTGCAGCAGTCCCAAATAAAACACAGCAGATCTTTTGCTTCCGACCGAGTAAAAACGTTCTAAGTTCGTGTTTTCTCGGGATAGTCAGGGAAGCGGTTTTAAATAACTTCAAGACAACAAATATCAACAAAGTTTTATTGACATTTAAAAGTACAATTAATTCAGTGGCAGAATTGATAAAAGAAAGTTTAGTTGACAATGGAATAGAGTCAAAATTTCAGTTAGAAAATCAAGTGTTGTCGTACTGGGTGCCAAAAGAATATGAACAAAGTGTCTGTAAATCCCAGGTGTATGAAATATCTCAAATGCTACCAGGGTCTTATGCAAGTACCTCTAGAAGGAGTGTAGTTAGTCAGGTGGCCATTGATTCACTGTAGAACCTGTTTGTTTGTTGCAGAAAGATGTCTGACAGAGGGGGTGACACAAAGTAAAAAACCCTGAAAGTGCAAAAAATCAATATCGAGATAACAATTTATATACCATACATGTTTTTTTCACATTTATAATTAAAATTACCGACTACAGTCCATATTATGACTCTATGTAACATCCTTCATTATCAGGTGATATACAGGCTTTCTACGAGACTGTTTGCACTTGTTCCTGTATCCATGATGGGTTACATTAGACGATATAATTATTAGACTTACTGTAGTGTTTCAATAATGACACGATTTGCCAGAGTTTATATAGGCAATACTTTTATAGTTAAACACACGTGTGATTCAAGAGTTTTTTTATAGACTTCTGTGACATTAGGTCACAGCCTATTTATAAATATACTGTTTTTTTTTAATCAATAATACTAATTCTTTTAATTTTGTAATACATTCTTTTATTTCATCATCTTTCTTTAGCCCCTTAAGCGATAGCGCAATTTGGACATTCTCCCCCTAAAATTCCTTACCAGCTCCTTAAAAGAGCCCCTTTTTTTCCAGAATTTTCCACCCTTTTTTTTCTGAGAATTCCACTGGTCGTCGGCATTCTTTCATCTCCGCGTGTTTGTTGTGTTTCTCAACCGTAACTTTTAACGCATAATCATTTTTTCATCTCAACTCGTGATTTTTAGGTAATTTAACTTTAACTTTTACAACATGCACTACAACTTCAATTTTAAGTTTTTGTATCTTATAAAAAGGATGAGCGCGAAAGACGATTAGCTTTCGATAATTNTCTTATTTATAAAAACATTAATTAATTCAGTTTTAAAACTTAAATGTACAGCTTCATTAAAGCTTGTTATAATGGCTAAATTGAGTTTAAATCCTAGCACATTAATACCTGATTAGCAGCATTAATAATAACATATCCATACCTGCCAACATTGGAGAAATAACGGAGATTTTACAATCGACATTTTTTTAGGCAACAAGTAATAAAACACGAGTAATAGCATAACATGTAGTCAAAAAGAGAAATTCAAAATTAGAAATAATTGATGTACAGTACAGAACCCGTTATCCGGAAATCAGAAAACCGGAAAACCAAAAAACCGGAACGAAATTCAATAAATTTTCCGCCATTTTTGTCAAAAAAAAAATTTTTTTTTTCTTCATAAGATTTTAGGATTTTTCTTTCTTTTTTGAAAGATGTTTACCTTACCATCATTTTGAAAATAATCATTAGTGTATTACTTCATCGTTTTTTCTTCTTTTTAAGATTTCCAAATATTATTTTTTTAAGTTGGGTTTAACAATAAAAAAAAAACGGCTTTTTGTAGCGATTCAGAAAACCGGAAAAATCAGTTATCCGGAATAGCGATGGTCCCGATCGTTCCGGATAATCGGTTCCCTACTGTATTTAAATAAAAAATATGGTACATAAGAAGTTGTGTTTTTTAAATTACATAGGAATGCTTAAAAAACAAATTATTTGTGTATTTTTATATGTTTGATGAATGAATAAAATCTATGAAATAGTTTTAGTATTTAAATTTAAAATAGCAAATAGTAGTCATAGTGTTAATTTTTAATAAAATTGTATAATTCTGTTACTATACATAAAATGAATACAAAATTATGTACTAAATAAATTAAGGTATATTTAATATAATCATTAAAACTAACTAACTAACTCAGTGTCGCGACAGCCCATTAAGAGGGCCAAGGCCGACTGTGCCCATCTCAGTTTTCTTGACCTTGGGCTCTGGGGTGCAGGAGCATAATCATTAAGTACTTGTTTATCTTTTTCTTTTTTTTTTAGTTAAAAATAGTTGCTACATTGGAAATACTTTATTTTACTAGCATATTAAAGTGTAGAATTAGTGCAACAATTTCAGAAAACATAACATAGAAGTGGCTAAGTTGTATAGGAGTAAATTAGTGCAGCGTACTAGCATGTGATGGATTGGTATGGAATAAACTGGTCAGACGGCCAAGGCTAACAGCTGGCTGTGGTGCAAAGATTTAACATCCTGAACCTTTCTTGTAAAATTTCAATTATTTTTATAGATTGTATATATATGTATAGATTGTATATATTTTATTTGCTAGCTGGCTAAAAGATATAGTTTTAATTGCGTTTACTATTTCTAAGAAATTTAAATTTTTTATGGAGGGGCATTGTAATTTTCTTTAATGTCTATAAAATGATTAGGATTTTTTTATTAGTAAAATAAAATATTTTTAACTGTTACTTTTGAAGTTGCTGGTTTTCTGTATAAAAATTATTAAATATATATTTACCTATAGCTCATAAATAGTTGCGTAAATTGCAATTTCTATCACAATAAAAGTAAGGTTTTTTAATTATGATTATTAGTTTGAATCTACATTTAGTACAAAGTAAAAATTCTTATTGTTTTCTCCTTTATTTAATTATTTTTTGTTTAAATTTCGAAGCTTTTCTACAAGTCACTTTGTGTGTACAATTCAATTTTCCTTGTAATTTATGGAATTAGATTAAATACAAAATAAAATTTCTAATTAAATTCTTTTATTAGTTCAATGCTTTTAATCTTATATTTTTCTCTATTCGGCACTGAAAACCCTTATATTAGTTTAAATATTTTATTTCACATTTAGACAAATTGTTGAGTATTACGTTAAAATGCAACAGTAGTTTATTTTTGAAAATATCAATTATAAGTGTCAGGAAAAAAAGTTTAAATCCTAAATTAATAACGTAAATAATCTTTAGTGTATAAATAATTTAATGTATTCAATATATAAATAAAATTCTAAACGTAGCAAATAAAATGTAAAAAAAATCCGAATTTTTCCCGAAATTTGATATTACCCCTGGAGCAGTCTCTTGGTGAGCATAAATAATAATGATAAAAGTGTTCCAACATTAATGTATCTTTTACGTTTGTACGTATTAAAACTGAAATTTTTTTTGTCCTTATTTCATTTCTAAGCATCGAACTTTTTCAGACAATCTGTTTAATTTTACAATTTGTTTGTGATAAAACTTTGTCATGTGTCAGTGACAAAACTTTTAAAACGTAAAGATTAAATTTATTTTTTAAACGAACTTATGTTTCATTAAAAAAGAAAGGCAACATTTTCAAATTGACATTTGACACTCGACCTACTATCTCAACTCTATAGGACAGACCCCTGGTTTTGATTTTAAATATGTATATATATACATATACCTCTTCACATGCTCGCAAGTAACCACTGATGTAGCAGCATGCCTTTTCTGATTTGGGAGCCTTCTCACTATCAACAATGCATTGGGGAACCTGCTTTCCTGATGTTTTTTACTTGGAAAACCATGCCACTGTAAGACACAGTAAACATTACTCTTTATTAATGAAATAGCATAATGATTCACAGGTTAAAAAAGGGAAGGAACGAACCTTCTATGCACATATCATCAATAATGAACATCGTGGATGCTGATAGCAGCGATGAGTTGCAGTCCTTGATTCTGGATCATTTTTAGAATTTCTAAAAAATGCAAAGGATAAATACAGTTGGAAAATGCAGTTGGATAAATACATGAGTTATGAGACAAGGATATTTTTCAAAAGTCTAAGGCAAACTTATAACAGGGTGCGTAGCCAGATTTTTCAACAAAAAATAAGCACCTTTTAAGTACTTTTTATGCACTCAAAAATATTATTAATCACTTTCCAAAAAGAAAAAAAAAATCATGATTAGGATCTGTACAGTAATAAAATTTTTATTTTATTATCGTTTAAAGTTTTTAATTTATAAACATAAAATCAATAAAATTCAAAAACTTAACACAATCATGATAAAAAAAAAATTAGTTTCTAATAAATATTTCAGAGAAAATTGTGAAAATCATGCATTATTTGTAATTTAGAACGACAATCGGCAAAGAAAAAAATCTCTTTTTAAAAGATAGAAAATGAAGCACTTTTTACAAATCCTGAGTAAAAAAGAAGCAGCTTTAAGCACTTTTTAAAAACGCTACGCACCCTGCATTAGACTAATCTACCTATCTGACAATGCTAGTGGGTGGATTCCATGGGTGTCAGAAAGAATATGTTGAAATTCCAGAATAACTTGCACTAGAATAGCATGCCTTATTTCTCATTCTGATTGGACAGCTTTTTATTTTACTTGCTTATGATAGATACTTTTGACATAGTAGATTAAATATCAATCATCAGTTTGTGAAAATTAAATAAAAAACTTATTTAAAATATTCCTGTGGCACAAAATAGATGTTTGAGAGCCCCAATTTTAAAGAACTCTAGTTTCTTTAAGATGCGACTAAGCATGAGCAGATGCATCCATACAAAATGTAGTTAGTTAATTTATAATAATAATAACATGAAGAGCTTGTCTGGGTGTCTCTCTAATAACTTCAGAACAGTTCATTCTATTGTCTTGAAATTCGGACAGCGGCCGCAATAGGGTGGTTCTTATTTTTGAGGTGATGTGGCAATACCTTTTTTCCTGGTGCCATTTTCTGAAAAAACATCGAAGCCCAAACATGAACTCATTTGAACACTATTTAAAGGTAGCTCAAAAGCTCAATACATTTGGAAATAACTGAAATTTGAACGTTTTTTTCCGATTTCAAGTTTTGAATGGAAGATAGCACCTATAAACTTTTAAAAATTCGGGTTTTGAGGCTTTAATAATATTCAATTAAAGACCTTTCCAACGAATCCTTAATCAGAAGTTGGTTAAAATCGAAATTAAAAATTTAAACATATGGCCGATAGGATGTTCCCCACCCCACATTTAACATGAGAAAATGTAAACACTAGTTTCTGCTAAATCTCTACCTACTATTTTAAAGTTAGTTTAAGTTTTAAACAATCTGTAAGTTAGTAGTATGATTCTGCACTATCACAGCTATAATAATGAATGCGAGTTAAATAAGTTGCTGGCATTGCTTTTGTTTTCATGTTAGAACATTGTACCAAGCACAATGTTCTTTCTCATTTAGGATCAACTTCTATCAGAAATTAAAAATGGAAACAAGGTCCAAAAAACAAAAGAACCTCCTTGAACTGATTTAAATGGCTGCCATCTTTGCAAGTGGCAGCCAGTGGCTTTTTTCTCTTCATCACCATATTATAAATGCAACTATTCGTGAGTCTTTAAATTTTACAGTGGAAAGAGTTGCAAAATTTCGGAAAAAAGCCAGAATTCCAAAGCTAGATATTTAAAAATTCCCTGAACTTAATTTGAAAAAGGAGAAAAAAATATAATAACAAAATTAACAAAAATTTGTATTTTCAATGCTAATTTCTGTCCTACTTTATGGATCTGAGACTGCAATGAAATCCTTCGAAAACCAAAACAGAATGGACAGGAAGACGTAAATAAAAATGGATTGTTCTCCGTAAACCTGAAAATTTTATTGTAAAACAAGTTTTTGATGGGAATCCTCAGAGTAAGGAGTTACTTGACGATTTCAAGTGAATTGAAAACAATAGGAAAGACATGGAGTGAGAACCCTTTGTTTCCATTCGGAGTGAACTTGAAAAAGTGTCTGAATAAAGGAGATTTTTTAAGAAAAAGACAGTTATACAAAAGTTATCTAATTTAAAAGTTTCTAAATTAGACAATCTCTGTGATATTACACATGCCAATGTACTCAAAATAATACCTAGATATTGATACAGTTCTTGCTAAAATACAACAAACAGCAAAAAAAGAAGATGCAAGAAAAAGATTTGAAAAGGAAAATTAAGTGTAACATTAACAATACAGTTTTATGCATGATTTTGTCCTGTATTTTCTTCTTTTACTCTCCGCATACGAAGAACGATTATTCAGAGCTACATTGAGAGAAGTTTATATTTGATAACAAATCAAATGATCAAACTGCTTAAAAATAAATTGCAACAAACTAGCTTACTCAATAGGGATGCTGTTTTTTAAATCCTTTGGGACAACTCTTAGAAGCAGGCTTTATTGTTTTTTCATTCACGTGTTTTTCTTTTTGTACGGACATAAAGTGGGAAAAGATATATTTGATCCATTTAAGCTAAAACATGATTGACAATACAGGGTTGCCACTCAAATCTGGAAAAAAAATTTCCTTTGTCTTTTGTGTACACATTATATGCAATATATTAAGGGGAAACAACAATTACTGTGCTCATGTGAGCTATATTGGGCTAGTTGTATTTATTAGTCTTAATAGCTGGAAAAACAGCTGAACATACTTAAATAATGTTATAGTAAATGAAGTAGTTTAGTATAGCTAAAAAACATGCTTAAATATCCCATAGATTACGCTTTAAGTGGTCACCATTTTTTAAAAGACGAAAATAAGAAACAAAATTCCCTGTATTTTCCCAGTTTGTAAAAAAAAAAAAAAAAAAATCCCTGCAATTTTCTTGTTATTTTAGGTGCTTCATAAATTCTTGGTATTTTCCAGGTTTTCCCAGTGGAGTGACAACCCTATTCAAGTCTATTTTTTAGTTTTTTTTTTTTTTTTTTAAAAAACTGTCTACAAATGTAGGTCAGGTACAGCCCCGGCGTTGTACCGTGGAATAAGTTTGATTCCATGAAGTTGAACCTGACGAGGATAATCCTGAATTGAGTCTCATCACGATGCTTTGTAAAATTATATATTTAGAGAATAATAACGCAAAAAAAAAATCTGATTTTGAGTACTTGAGAAAATTTAACAATTTATGTATAATTATAAAAATACATTATTTTGTTTAAAAATTTTTTTTTCTCTCTATAATAAAAGATCGTAAGGCCGATGCAACTGTGTTCAACTCAACGTTATTTTTTTTGTTTCTCAAAAACTTTAGTACTTAGAAACTTGAAGTGACTATATAAGAAAACTGTACGGGGATTACGATGGAATAAAAAAATAACATTCCATAATTAGTTCAAACTGCAAAATTTGTTGGAAATAATAGCTTAATAATAAGACTAATAAAATTTCATGCGAAATGCATAAAAGTTTGCAGCTATTTGTATTGTGATATTCAATATTGACTTTGTAGATACACTTAATAAAAATAATTTATGAACACTGACTTGACTTGTGCAACTACCCGCAATCTGCAAACACATGATAGTTTATGCCAGAAACAGATCTTCTGTATTAAAGTGAGTCAAATTTTCACGAAAATAAACTTAAAAAGGCACATAAAAATTAAGTTTTGTTACTAAACATAGAATAATTATCAAATTTGACGACAAATTCAAATAGACTTAGTTAATACACGCATTTTTTTTAAAAATGGCAATAAACAAAGAATCACCTGTTTTGAGTTGATTAATTTAAAAATTTATTCGATCGATTTTAAGACTATAGCAAATTCTTTTAGTTGAAAAGTTAGTTTTGATGAAAAAAAAATAAATAAATAATAAATACATTTCATGGAAAATCATGCAGTTTTTTTCCCCATCTTTATCCCTTTTATTTCATAATCCGTTTGTTTCAAATGAATTCCTTCATAACAGAGAAGGTGTATTAAAATAAAAATTTATTCCTGATAAGACATCATGACACGCATTAAAACTTTTTCTGCAGTTATGTTCGATGTCAAAATATTGTCAGAGGTGGAGAATCTTTGTGCAACAAAGATGTCTTCACTACTTGGGGTCAACAACAGTAAATTCAATTTCATTAGCTGCACTTTTGACAGAACAATACTGATGGCAGAATAATCCTCTAGTTTTTAGAATTCTTCAGAGGTCTGAGAGGCGGCAAATATCCAAGGTGATACAATGAATTAGACTTGCTGGAAGCTAAATTAAAAATGCCTTTATTCAAACATCGAAGATAAACCACTTTCTTGTAGGACTGGGCAATGTATCGGTACATTAGTGTTATACATTTAGTACTGCGTAAATTCGCAAATTGTATTTTTTTTAAAAAATAAACATTGAATTTTTTATAATTATTTCTCAATATTTAAAGACGTGGATGTCTGCAAAATAGCGGTCAAAAAATATTTAATGACTGGATGGATTTTTAAAAAAAATCACCAGGATTTGCACAAGAATAATTAAAAGAAGTCCCTTCTATAATGAAGTGATTCAACAACACTTCGATTCTTAATCCCGTTCGGATTCATCATGTCAGTAAAACGATGAATCACGATGTAAAAAAGAAAAATAACGATCATCGCCACAGCACACTTACGGAGGAAAATGCTTTTCACCCGAACTTGCAGACATCGATGTCAACGATACATGGAGAAATATCGTACGCATCTCAGTCAATTACAAATTCCGATGCTTCGAAAAACTGTCAATCCAAACATCGGATCGGCGACGATTGCATAGAATCGATATTTTCCAATGCATCAATTTACCAGCCAGTCCTACTTCCTTGTATTCTAAACTATCAATTAAGGTACGCACGAACGCACACCACACAAAATTCTTTCTCAAGCGATAGATGTAGCTAGCATTGGTACATCATTTTGAAATAGTTTAAAATAATTTGAAAAAAAAAAAAAATTATATAAAAATTTATTTAACATTGA